GTTTCTTAACATGTACTCAACCGCAATCTACATCATTTCTGGTCCGCTTCACTGCAAGAGGGATTTCCAAATCTTTTTTCAGCAGGTCATGAAACAGTTTAGTATTCTTTAAATTAATTCAAGGCTATTTCCTTCATTTACCTATAGATTTGTACCAGAGTACGATGCACTACAAATACTTTCACTACACTGTAGGGCCTGAATTTTGTGTAGGTGAATGAAATTGTTTGGAAGCGAAGTATGGCGGTTTGAAAGTTCATATACGTTTCTTGTAGAATGGCCTTCATAAAATTACTAAATTTTAGGTTTAGAGTTGAAATATTGAACACAAACTTAAAAAATAGTAAGATTAATGGTAATACTTTATATTTATGATATAATCACATTTTGCTCAAATTACATGTTATACTGTCTATTTTACTCCATAAACACTCTATAAACAATCTAAAAAGAAAACCTTTTTTTACAGATAAACATTTCCATAGCGTTTGTATACATTTTATATATACTTACTATAGATAAAACCTTTTTTACAGATTATAAATGTTTCCATAGAGTTTATATATATATATATATATATATATATATATATTATATATATTTTCTATAGACTATTAAAAGTTAGTTTTTAAAATGACTCTTGGCTTAGAATATTATATAGTTCAATAGAATATACTATATAAAATATATTTATTTTCAAATTTCATATGTGTTATACTCTATAGAGGTTTTATATGTTCCTATAGAGACAGGCCTAATCCCTATAAAATTTTTATAGTACGTTAAAAAAAATACAGGTAAAGGCCTATAATATTTTTATAGAATAAATATAGAAATTATATAGTTAGTTTTATTATAGAGAACTTGTCATATCGTTTGTATAGAATATTCAATAGAATTTCTGAATATGCAAGATGTAAACATGTTGATAGGACTAATACTGGTCCGACACGAATGTGTCAATAAATGAAATTGAATTGAATGAAACAAAAAAAAAAGTTAAGATCATAGAAATTACATTAAATATTTGTATATAGAATGTTATAGAATTCTATAGAAACTAGTTCCTCTATAAAACAATTTTATAGAATATAATTTCTATAGAAATTGATTAATCTCTATAGAAGGTATATATAGTTCTATAGATTTTTTCTGTAAGGGTACTTTGTAAGCTTTTGAAACCTCTAAATTGTCATATTTTTGGGAGATTTTCCCTGCTTCCCTATTCTGCTGAAATAATAAAAAAAATTTATATTATGGAAGTCCTGGCAGTATAATTAACATTACATAGCCAAAGTCTAGGCCTATACTAAATCATGGTGTATAATAAAACATACAACCTTAAAAACACAAGTTTAACAAGCTAACAATAACAGGTGTTGTTGTTTAATCTGTTCAGCCAACCACAGATAATCTCAAATTACTTAATTTCATTGGTCACTTTATCCATGTTTATAACTGAAGGCCATGGAAATTAACAAAGGTGCTTTTGAATGTTATCAGTTAACTGAAATTTGTTAGTGGTTTTAGAGCTCTTTTTCAGTGCACATTCATGATGATGAAACAGGCAGTTTCACCATATTTTCTGAAGTATTTCAGCAGTACTCAATAGGTAAGAATTGTTTTTCTATTATTATTATTCATTTAATGTTGTTTAAATTGGCGCATTAGACTTAGTATAATGCGCCTTTTAAGTCAAAAATTGGATTGGTTTGGATTAGATTGGATCTCTAGGCATAGGAGCCTAGCTAGGAGATAACAAGCATGCTATGACCTAGGCCTATTATTAAGAAAAGATAGAACTGAGGATATTCTAAGGATCGGAGGGCTAAGCTCAGTCTGCCCTATAATTTAAGTATTGGAGGGTGGTAAATTGGGCCGTGTTCTCACTTATTTATTATTGTAAAATCCATGATATGATTTTTTAAATAATTTTTAGGGGTAGGCCTAGGCCTTTATAGGCTAGGCCTATGCTACTGTTATTATTATCATTATTACCAAAACTCCCTCATATTTACAACAATTTGCATTGATCTGTTAAATGCTTCTATTTATGTGAACAAATTTCTTTCGGTAATTTTGCAGAATAGAATAAATATTTTTTTTTTTCTCAATTTCCAATTCACGGCAGCGGCTGAGCTAACTGGTCAAAATTAAAATTTTATTTTTATTTTAAATCTTCATCTTCGTCGAACAGTGGTTTTGCAAAACAAAATATCTATACATTCATGTCGAAGGAAAATACAACATTTAAAATGTGGGTAGAAAATTTTAAGATACATTTTCAATAAACGGCAAAATCTGCTTAATTATTATGATTTAAAGTTTTAAAACAATTAGAGCATTATTCATATTCCAACTGACAGTTCTTGTTTATTTTGCCCTGCCCCTCAATTTTTATTTTGACCTAGTGTATGTATTTTTATGATATTTCATGACTCACTTTTTTTTTTTTTTCAAAAAAAGGGTTTCAAAATGCACAGGACAACTGCATGTATCACTTTGCTCTTATTTAAAGAATTGTTTTGTTATATCTTTCAGTATGTGAAGCAAGGGTGAAAATCTGAGGCCATCATGATTCAATATTTCAAACCTAGTTTGGTCACTCTGCAGAATTCACAATGGCATCTTTCAGCAAGATTTCCAATTTGCTTTGCTACCATTGGACAAAAAAAGCACGGATATAGACAGCTCATACAGAAAATTGCTGGTTTATACACAACNTTGCTGGTTTATACACAACTGTAACGCGACAGATTTTTGAACAGGGTTTTGTATAGTAAACTGTAGTTGAGGCTTTAATATAAATTACAGAAAAAAAAAAACTAATTTGAAGACCGTAAAGCATTTAGGTACCGCTGGAATTTGAAGTATGTGCATCAGTAAGGCTTAAGACGAACAATATTATGTGAAGGGGTATGCAAGTCATCGAGACCCTAGGGA